CTTCCTCTCTCCTTTGACATTGGTTAGGGTGAATCATCAGTTAATAAACAGCATTTCTTAACTGATAAGTGCAGCGTTTCCAATACTGCAGACGCATTTCCCTTTACACCAGTTCTGGAGAACTTCAGTATGTAGTCCAGATAGAAGAGATCACCGAACAGTGGAAACGTGCCACACACCTAATCCAAAGAATCTGAGCTCCTGTTCATCTCTTATGCTGGAACAGGTGCTATTTTTCTCAATGCTCTATCCAGAAAACTCAAGACTCCTGCTCTTACCTTTAATGTTCAATCTTCCTCTAAACTAGTGTCCAGAGCAGCCTACTCCCCCAGGAAGACGACTAACCAGATGGCTTGACATGCGATGGACAGGATTAGTCCCCTCTGTGGTCAGCCTGACCGAGCTGTGTTCCACTTGCCAACAGCTTATTAGCTGTCTGCTTAAGGAGGAGCTGGGATAAGTCTCCTTCTGCTGGCAGCAAAGCAGAGGGGCAGGCGCTGACTGTAATAATACGCTGTTTCCTGTCTGTAGCTGAGCTGAGAGGTACTTTCCAATAGAAAAGGCTTTGCAGGAGCACAGGAGTTCAAGCTCCACCTCTTCCACTGAAGAAACTTTAACTTATGTAGGAAGGGTCAACAGCATGACTCCTGTGCTTAATCATTTGTGTTTAATCTTAACTTCTGGAAGAAATCAAACGACCCACGTCTGAGCTCTCTCTGGTGGGATGTCAAAGCACTGAGTAAGACAGGCTGGAAAGTGTAAGTTGAAACCCATGTAAAAAGTTATATGAATGAGGGTGAAAGTCCACACCACCATTTGCAAGTGCTAAGTAGAAAACACAAAAACACCATGTGAAAATCATATGAAAACCAAACAGATGAACCTGAAAAGATCTAAGGGCTCTTCCTAGAACCCCTCCTGTTTATAAGTGTCTTAATACTATTATTATTACTTATACTAGATCTTTTCCCCCCTTCAGTTACACATAAATCCTGCTCAAGCCAAGAAATGGTGAATGAACTGATAAGAACTCATTCCATCAGCTTTGCTCATCACTTTGGAAGCAGCAGAACCCATTCATTCGGCACCTTCTAGAAAAGAGCAGATCCTCAGCCAATGCACCAACCTGAGAAGTAAGGATTTGTTCACCACAGAAAGTTTTACAGAAGTGGGCTTATGGAGGTGGCCCAAAGTCCTTTCAAAGGCTGTTGAGCTATGGTGGCAAAATGTCTGCTTGGGCAACATACAATAAAGCAATCTGCCTCACCCGCACTTTATGGGCTTTGTATCAGAGAATGGGGGTGCTAGATAGTTTAGGCCCACAGGTAAAGCAGTCATTTGGAGAAAAGTATCTCCAAAAGACAGGTTTCTTGTCATCACCTAGAGAAAAAGCTATAGTGAGTTCAAAGTGTAGAATGCATCTTCAGAGGTATTTTGTTTTCATGCTCCCGGAGCACCTGCAATCAAAACATCAAGTTACTGTGAAACTACACCATGCAACTAAAAACAGTTCATGAAAACAGCTGACATCTCAGAGGAGAGACTCAGCCCACTGTGATCCCAAATCATCTGCTTCTTAGAGCTCAAAAGAAGCTCTGAGAGTACGGCTGGGCAAGCTCTGCTCAGCTAGCGTCAGGCATTGAGCTCAGCCACTCACGCTGCTAACCTCCAATTTCACAAGGCGTACAAGTGGAGACACACGGTGATGGTGAGCATTCAGGATGAAAGTTGACCACTCTCCTTGAAATAAATGTGTCTGAAGTACCAGGGCAATACACAGAACTCTTCCTGGAGTAATAAGAAAGGCTCTGCATTCCCTCAGGAGAACATGTTTTAAATCAGCGTGTCCCACCAAACTATGCCACGGATGAGAAGCTCTTCTTTCTGCATGAAACCAAAGGCATGGAGAACTCCCAGCCTCACTGTGTCTGGCCACTACTGAAGGGCTTCACAGAATGCAAAGAAGTTTTATGATGTTGGTGTAACAAAAACAGAGCCCCTTTCTGTTCTCAGTATGAAAAAATGGTGTCTGGAAGTTCAGACAAACGACTGGATAGTTTTAGCATTGCAAAATACTGCACTGCACTTATTCTTGCAAAATGGCCATCACCCTTTAGTGTCTAGAATGTCAGTAACCACTGCAGCCAAATGCTGCACAGAGAAAACTACATCTGGTGCATGATGTGAACCAGATAGAAGTGACCATTTGCTCAAAAGTTCACCGGGAATACAGCTGTGATGCCAGCACAAAGCTAAGGGTGCATGCCATAGTTATGCCTGGGTAGCACCATAGCAGATTCACTCTGAGGCATTGTGGAAGATAGCAGCTGTAGCAAAATCCTCTGGTGAGAGATCTGTACAGCAGGTACTGTGAGATTATACATGGAAAGAACCACTCATTAGAACTCAGACATCCACAAAGAATCAATTCTGTCTTATAATGACAGAGATGTGACAGAACAAGCAAATACTGCATCTACAATCCTCCTGAGAAGGGAGGCCTGCTGTGGGGCTACTATACGATTTGTTCCTAGAGGCTTCCTGCTAAATAACTGCAGCCACTGTGCCTGACCTAAAGGAACAATAGCTAAACATAAAGCTTTTCCTTACTCCTCTCAAGGGACGCAGCTGCACAACATCTTACACTCAGAGATGCTCTTAATCACATGTTCCCACAACATTTTATGGTCATGCATCCATACACTTTGGGTAGCAGTCCTGAAAACTGTCCTGATACAGCCTGTGCAAACAGGATATAAACACTGAAAGAACGATCGAGTAAACAACAGCAGAACCCGTATTATATGCTCTCCTTTTTAAAGGAAAAGGTCTGCATCCTAATATTCACTTTTCTCTCTGTCCTGCTGGCTGCCAGCAGTCCTATGTAGAAAGTTTACTAGCAACTTTATTTTTTAACTGTATTCTTTGTTGAATGAGGAACGTCACTCATGCAGCTCTCTCACAAAGCTGATCTACTCTCCAATGCCTTCACTTGTATCTTTCCATTTGAAGTAGAATCAAGAACTGACCAAGGAAAGTTTAAGAGACTGAAAAAAGAACAAGTAGTAGTGATGAAATTCCAACAACAAAAGCACAGTTTGGAGATCCAGAGTGTTTATGTAATGCAAATTGTTTTAGGGTAAAGGATAGGTAACCTGGACAACAGATACAGAACAAGCAGACAATTCCAAGTGTGAGCTTAGTCACCTTATGAACTAAATCAGATACCTCCTGCCTGGTAGAACCTCTACCTTAAGATGCATTTAAGATGCATGGACAGCAGATGAGTTTACTCACAAGTAAATCGGTTTTTCCTAAATCCAAAACTACCGGTCTTCCCTCGAAGAAAAAGAAAGACAGCCAAAACATATCCACCTCCAAAGTAACTTCTCTATTTTACAGCACTGACTGTTCAACGTTCCCACTTTAGGGCAAAACCTCATCAGTGAATCCCACTGATCTGAAACAGGAAAGAAAATGCCAAGAACTCTGCGTTTTAGACATGAACTAAGCTGGGAAGGTATGGGAGGGAAACAGAGTGCTCTCAAAACAAACAAACAAACAACAAAAAACAACCCAAGAGAAAATTGCAAGACTGCAAAGAATCTAATGGAGCAATGTGGCAGATCAATAGCAGTAACCTCCTGATTTTCCAAGCATTTTTACAGCGCATGGTAAACTGCAGTCAGGGTTCACTGAAAGGCATGGTAGACAGAACAGAAAGACACGAAGAGAGAAGAGACTTTTTCCTGTAGTTCACCTGAGCATACAGTGATCAGTTAGAGATAGTGCAAACTCTCTCTGCTGCTTGAATATTCAAATAATCTTTAAACTCTTTACCCCTTAGGAAAGGCAGGAACTGGCAGATAGTGACACTGTAGTCATGGAAGTTACTCCGCACTTCTGGACTCAGAAGGGGACAATTTGAGAGCACACACACAGTATCTCTTCCTGTGCATAAATCCAGTCCTTCTGACAGAGACTACCTTTCTCTGAACCACAGGAATAAGCAAAAGCACATTTTTCTTAATCTGAAAAATCAGTCTTACATATGACAAAAGTGAAGCAAGACCCTAGAGAAAATGTATTATTGACAGGAAAATAACTTTACATTCTTGAAAACTATCTCCTACAGAAATTGCTGCAGAAGTCTTCTCTCTGTGCACATGCACTGACACCTGTTCAGTCTTTACTGTCAGATGCAGATGGCCATCCTACTTGTCCAATTATTGATGCAGAAAATGTTTCAAAAATATTTAATCCACAGATGGCACCATAGCTACTTTGCCCTGATACTACAAAGCAAAAAGTTATAGCTGCATGATGGAAATACCCTATGCTACACATGTCAGTTTAAGTTGTGGGTTACTATTGCAGAGCAAGCCACGCTGCTCAGTCTTGGTCACCAGCAGGATCAGTTTCATTGTCCACCTGGATTGCTCTATCCTTCATGCTGCCTTAGACCAATGTTGCTTCTTTTCTCCACTCCCTCCTCCCTTGTGAATCCACGGGAGGCTGTATGTTTCTCTCTATGCAACTTCTTTCTCTGTTTCTCCTTTTGCTTTCCTCTATATGTAGCTTGCATTTATAGACACACATACATCCACAAGCTAATAAAGTCAGCAAAAAAAGTTTACATATTTTCAGAGCTGAAGGGAAAAAATCCTTTAGCAAAACTTCCAGTTTAAACATCCCCTCACCCTGAACTCCCTCAGCATAACACGTTTTTCTGTCCCACAGTGTATATGGATTCTATCAAACTCTCCTAGCTTATAGGTAAGAGCTTGAATGCAGAAGTTCAGCATCATATGTAGCAACTTGAAGTACTTCCCATGCGCACGGAGATGAATTAAGGCTGCTGAAAGGAAAAAGAAGTCTAGGTAGTTTTTTTTATAAGTAAATAGGGTGTGAAGTTTGTTCAGATGTTTTTAAATTGTGCAAAAGAGAACGGAAGTGACTGAAAGATGTAGGAAGAATGGAAAATAATGTGACAGTCTTACTGTGAAGCTGTTGTTGACGTTCTTAGTGCTGGATTCTGCCACACTGGCATCTGTCAGATCCACCTCATCAAAAATAATGGACTGGAAAGAAAAAATTGAAACCCTCAATGAATCAGTGAATCCAATGTATAAGCAACAGACTGTACGTCTGCCTAGTACACTCCATCAGAGCCTTGCATGATTCAAAGAGAAGGCCCAGTACGAGCAGAATCCTGGCTCCATACAGCAGTGCTCACATTTGCCTGTCTTCAGTCAGTGAAACCAGTGACTTGATTTTTATTAGGGGACTACTTAGAAAAATTAAGTAAATAAACCAAAAAACATTGTAGGCTTAATTCTAGTGAAAGAGTCAGAACAGTATCTAGAGAGCTATCAACGTACTAAAGCAGATGCATGGCTGCCCTCTGATCGTGTGATAAGTTCTTGCCTTCCTTTTCCCCTTCATGTCCTCCTTTCATCCATGTCCTCTCCCTTCTACTTCATTTTCTATAGATTCACTGCCCATTTCCCAGTAAAATGCACTAATGGGGGAAAAAAAGGTATTGCAAGTCTACGTGATGCTTTACTTAAACCTCCGGGAGATGAAAGTGTGAGGTGAAACACAGGGAGCTTCCAGCAGCTGCAAAACCTGAAGACAGGTGCTTTCAGGGCACATGCACTCTTCTCATGGTCCGCTTCCCAGACTCATACACTGACTTTCTTCCCATGGAACAAAATGTATTTTCAACACCTTACCTTAGCAGTCTTTGCATAGTAGAGCGTTCGTCCTCGCAGCTTAAAATATCGTCTCTTCCAGCGCTGAAAGGAGCTGGTCTGTTTCATCAGCATTCCCTCTTTGATGACAGTCTACAAAACAAGAAGAGGACAGAGGTGGAGCCCACGTTTTACTTTCCAGAAGTTTTTACATTCTCCCCATACATACCAACAGAGACCACAGCTTGAGACCAATAATCTTAGTGCCCTCTGCTGGAAGTGCTTAACAAATTCATTCATATAAACAAGAGGAACTGATCAAGATCAAACCATCCCAACACACAACCCACACGGGGTGGGGCTTGATCTTTGTCTCCGGCACTATCACTATACCAACACAGATAAGTCACTTATGACTGAACTAGCATTGCAAAGTCTAACAATGACTCGGGGGCCATAACAGTTAAACTCACTGAGGTCAGATTTCAGGTGCAGGTAATCGTGCCTTTCATCTAATTGATATTTCATTACAAGCACAGCATCTCTGCCCCTGTCTCCAGTTCTGCTTTGTGATATCATCTGCATCTACCTGGTCAGGAGCTGGCAAGCTGCAGGCACACAGGATGGAGTGAAACTGGAGTGAAGGAGCTGCATCCAACCTCAGTGCTTGGTGTTCTTCAGACAGCCTTGGCTCTGCCTCAGCACACTCTGGCTGCCTGCCATTTCCCAGGGCTGCAGTGCCAAAACTGTCTACGCACATGGCTTTTTTTTTTTTTTTTCCTTTCTTTTTTTACTGCTTTATAACTAGATTGTCATACCAGCATGCACAGTCCCATATGCTCACTCACATACTACACATACATGGGGGTAAGTATTTAATCCACATGCACTTCATTCTACTTTGTCAAATACATCTGATTCATTTGCTGAGGACAGATTTGGAATACCAATAGTTACAACCAAACAGCCTCAAAAACTGCAGCTTGGAGAGGCAAAGAGTAGAAAAGCCAGAGCTGAGGGTTCAGCCCCAAGTTACTGATGGGAGGTACTGCCTCAGTGCTGTGTGGCACCATGGGAACCCATCTCCCTCCCCAAGAAACAGCCCCTGGAACCCACTTCAAACTGAGAGATCTGAATGTGATAGACACCCAGTCAGAGCGCAGGAAACAAATGGTCCAGCAATCTTGTAAGACAGGTTATTCTGTATCTTGATGCCAGGAAAATTACACCATTCCAACAAACCCAAGGTCTCCAACCAGCTCAGGTTTGTCACACAGTTAGGTCAACCGACGAGCAACAATTAATTCACCACACAGCACTGCACGTCCACTGCCAGGCTACTACAGAGCACAAAATAAATACTCTTGCTAATCCAAAGGGTTTACACTGTTATAGAAATCCTTTCCAGGGCACTAAACTTGTTTTTAAAATGCTATATATATTTCTAATGTGGGTCTTTCCTTTTTGAAACAGCTGCAAATTTTAATACTTTCCACACGCACCGGCCCTTGCCAAGCTCAGAGTTTCCTCAAAAAGCACTTGGAAGAAAGTGCTGACTCTAAGGAGAAACATCCGCCTGCCGACACGACTGCTCTCCTGCTGAACGGGGCCGTCCCCAGATTGCAGGGCCTGCAGCACGGGCTGGAGAGGAGCGGGCTCTGTGGGATGCTGGACTCAGCAGCCTCCGCTGCCCTCCTGCACTGAGCTGAAAACAAGGGCAGAGAGAGAGCAAAATGTACAACCAAAGGCTGAGCTCATGTCTCCCACACATGCTCTTGCACGCCCAAAGGGTGCTCGGCTCCTGCTGTCACTGGTACTGCAGGGATAGGGCTGTGGGAACACGCTGCATGCAGCCATAAGGCATCTGGCAATGCCTTTAGTGTTCAAAGTGCTTTTAAGCACTGCAGAGATGCTCAGAACCAAGATTTTAAGCTAACTTGGGACTCCATATTACCACGCAGAGAGTCGGAAACTCAGCCACGATCTTAATCTGAAGCTTCAGCATAACAGAAAACGGAAATCAAAGGCTGACCCAACAGCACCCTCACTGCAAGGACGCTGACCAGACCAGAACTAAGAAACCAAGACAGGTACATTCATCCCAGGGACTTTTCACAAGACACCCCACAAGTCATTCACACTCCCCATGCCCCCACATGCCATGCAGGACATCAGCACTGCCCAACTGTACATGTACTGCATGGTGTACAGCTACCAGGTGAGCTCCCGAGCACCGGGCTCAGAGACAGCAACTGCACCCTGGCTGCTCTGCTACACACATTGCACACCTCTGCAGTTTGCCTCAGCCTTAAGGCTACAGGGAAGGGAACGGAAAAATGGCAAGAGATCATTCCAGATTAAAACGTAAACATGGAGGGATTTCTTTGCATTCCTTGGCCAAAGCACATATCATTAAAAAAACGAGACAGAGAAAGCAGCCACTGAATTCTGCAAAGCGCTGAACCGAAGGCAGAAAGGAATGGGGAAGACTCTCAGGATGCAAAGCCAGAAGATAGCAAGTCAGGCAGTAGCGTGAGCAAAAATAGCAGCTTGCAAGAGGAGATGTCAGACCTTTGCTGCTCTGCTTATTCACAGACATTCTTGCACTGGGGTCAGCCAGAAAGAGCCCCACGCTCCTGCCCGGCCCAGCAGATCTGCGACGCGCAGTGCAGCGTGCCCTGGGCTCCCAGTGCTGCTGCTCCTCCGGCTCCCAGTGCTGCTGCTCCTCCAGCTGCAGGGCTCACTCACCTCTGCACAAGCCGTGCATTCCTCCATGCCTCATTTAAACAGCATCCTCTCTTTTTTTTTTTTTTTTTTCCAACCAAAAGGCAACAATTCCGGAGGTCACTTCGCCCCTCCCTAACCAGCGGTGTGTGTCACTGCACAGCCCCTATCTATAGCAAAGCTGTTGCATGTTGCAAAGACCTCAGACATGAAAGGCCGGTGAGCAGCGGCTCTCACACACGCTGCTCAGATACAGCCTGGGTTCCGAGCTGCCCAGCTTCGCACGAGCTGCTCTTCTATTTATAGGCACGCCGCTCGCTAAGAGTTTGGTGGGTTTGGGCGGAAAGGGCTGGAGATAAGATCAAGATGACTTTATGAAATGATTCAGACATCGCTGCCTTTCTCCTCCTCTGTTCTAATTTTACAGCCAAAGGACTTGCTGCTTGCAGAGGAATGCGGCTGAACAGAATGAGCTGGGGAGAGGGCCTGGCAGCAGGGTGATGGCTGAAATGAAAGGGGAGAGAGAGCTACTGCTGCTCACAGCCCCGCTGCAACACTTATCTGAAGATCTCCTTTGATCAGACTAGGAGCCACGCAGCTCACTGAGATTACAACAGAATTACTTCTTCCATACAGGAAAAAAAAAAGAATTGAAGCCATTTTTAATGTCCATTTAAGTTGGATCCTATGGGAAAAACTACTGCTCTGAATCATGATGAGGTGGGAGTAGGAGCCCATCCTATCAAGATGAACGTAGGGCCCTGATAGAGCTGCTGCCATCCAGCTGCATGTCTCACCCTGGTGTCCCATGGGTGGTGTGCCATGGGTGGACAACACTGTGACAAATGCATGTCTTCCTGGAGCAACCTGCAGTGATGTGCTGCTGGCTTCACCAGTGACCCCTTCGTCACAGCACAGGATGGCATGAAAAAGATTGCTACACAAATGTAAAGCAACAGTCAGTGCACAGGGCAGGGTCTTCAGCATCTCTGCAAAGAACACGACTTGACAGCTGGAAGGCCTAAGAAATTTCTGGCATTTCATTATTTATCAGTGGCCTTGAAGAAAAGCAACTTCCTGCAGACAAAAATTCATCCCACCACAAGCAGCACAACCCCTTGTCCCCATATCACTGATCCCCATGTAAACATGAGAAATAGGATGTCCTTCAGATCTGTCCTGCCAAAACGGGTTCAGAGGTGTGGCCTAGCCCCGAGCTCACAACACAGCAGCTTTGCCACTGCTCTTGTGGGGATGGTTTCAGAGGGCTCCAGGGCCCAGTTTGTCCTGATACAGCCCTGCAAAGCAAGAGACGAGCAGTAGGCATGCACAAAGCCAGTCAGACACGCTTTTGTTTCTTGCAGCATCGCTTGTCTGAGGTGCCTGTGCAATCCATAGCCCACATCAGAGGTCCCAGAGTCAGCCTACACAGATGAAATGTTTCTTACCCCAATAATGAGTAGTTCTAGTAAAAATAGCAATCACATCGTGCCTCAGCTGCTCGCTGGGTTACTCCTGTTTCCCCTGTACACAGTATGCCCACTCCCAGCAGAGGAGCAGCCTGAGCCTCCAGTCACTGGCAGCAGGCTCACACCCCAACGCCAGCCCCCTGCTCAGGCCCAGCAGCACAGTGCAGCTGACTGCACAGCTGGGTCATGGCATGTTCTCAGGGGCAGCTGCTCAGGGCAGCACATGGTCCAGGCTCCACAGATCCAGAGAGACAGGGAAATGCAAGGATCACAAAGATGGTCAGGGCTTGGAGCATCTCCCTTCCGAGGGAAGTCTGAGAGACCTGGGATTGCTGAGCCTGGAGAAGGCTGAGAAAGGATCTGATCAATGCTTATAAATATCTGAAGGGCAGAAAATAACCACACAAGAGCACATTCAAAGCTATCTAAGCAGCAAGAATCCTACATACCAAAGTTGTCAGCATCTGGATTGCTCTGTTGGCCATATGTCTTCAGAGCATTAAGAACCGTGGGATGCAGATTGTTTTTATTTGTGTACCCTGCAGAACCATGAGCTGGGTGCTGATGCCAAACAACAAATAGCAAGCTAAAGAAGCAGAGCACAGGAAGGAGAGAGCCAAATAACCAGGCGTGTGCAGAGCTGACAGGCTCTCTCTGCATACACCCACCAAAGGACCATGCACCAACTCTGGGCAAGTGGGGCACTTCAGCAACATCAAGGTGCTCTTGGTGTGCCGAGGCAAGCCGGGATCCAGAGTGGACAGTCCTATAAGGCTCCCTGAGGTCATCAGTACAGAACGGGTAATTATGTACAAATACAGAAAATCCAACAATGTGGCTATGGGAATAAATCTAACCAAGCCTAAAGAATAAGACATGAGAGGTCAAAAGGCTGGGGGTTAACAAGCTAATCCGAGAGCAACATCCTTCCAGCAGACAGTGGTCACACCCTGGAAATTA